CTCATGAAAATATAAGTTAACATCAGCACAATTCCAGATACACAGAAGACTTACATAAATATTTGTTATATGAATGAATAATTTTCCATTCCAAGAATCCAGTCTCAAATAGCTCAGCTAGACATCAGTCTCTTGTGACATGAGCTCAGAATGTGTATATCATAAGCATATGGGACAATCTTATTTTATTTATTAGAGTATACATTTTCAAACATATTACCATAAAGGTAATCATAATATATTCTTTTGACCTTTTATTCTAATACTATTTGTGTTCTCTCTCTCTCTCTTTCTCTCTCTCTCTCTCTAAGTTTGCCAGATGCTTATGTGTTTGCTTAGTTTTCTAAAGAACCATCTTTTCCTCTGTCGATTTTCTTTACTATTCCTTTTTATTCCTTTTCATTGTTTTTTACAGTATTTTGTTCTACCCCTTCCCTCTATTTTGACTTATTCTGCTATTCTACCTTTTTGGCTGAATGCTTAACTCACTAATAATCAGTTTCATTCATTTCTAATACATGCATTGTGAATCTATAAATTTCCCTCAATGTATCTTTTTAATTGTACTCTACAAGAGTTGAAATAAAGAACCTAATAATTTTCATTACCACTTTTCTTTGACAAGAATTATTTAAAGTATAATCTTGAGTTTCCAAACGTATGGAGGTTTTGATGTCTGTTGGTTCTTGGCCTCCTAATTCTTTTTCTCTGAGATAAAAAACATGGTTCATATCATTTTTATTCATTAATGGTAAGGCCTTTTGTGTATGCATATTCTCTGCTAGTAGAGTTCCAAGTCCTATATATGTCCATTTGATCAAGCTAATTGGTTATGATAATTAAAGCTTCTTTATACTTTGCAATTTTTAATTTGATTTTCAGTATCTGAGATGTATGTTTCAAAACTCCCAATGATAATTACCATGTTTTCAATACCTCCTGATGATTCTGTCAATTTTTACTTTTTATATTTTTTAAATGATTCTAGTAGGTAATGTAGGCTCGGGACTAATATACCTGCCTAGTAAATTGTTATTTATTATTAAGTAATAACTGTATCTACAATAATACTTTTTAAAGTACATTTTCTCAAAAATAATACAGTACCAACAGCTCTCTTTTGAAAGGTATTTGCAAGGTATGTTATATCAATTTCCATCTATTTTCTTTCAATCTTCCCATCCCATTATCCTTAACAGGTGTGCCCTTGGTAAACAGTTTGTAAAGGGAATATAGCTGCTCCCCCTTTTCCATCTAACTTAATAATCTTTGTTGACAGATAAAACGAATCATTTTATATTTGATGTGATTCCTAATATATTTGGCCTTATTTCAACAATCATGTTAATCTACAATTTCCCCAAAGTCATGGATTATCTAAATGTACCAAATACTGCACACTACAGCAAACACTGCTATATCTAGCTTAGACTCGTAATTTAGCTCTTCTCAATAAGTCATTTAGACACATTAGCAAACTATATTCTCTTAAAGATATAGGGTAATAAATCCTTACACAAATAACACACATACACGTCCAAAAAAATAAATTAATAAATTCAGGTGGCCAATCCACAACTTTATTCTTTACGTTTAAAGGGACATAAAAGATTCCATTCGTCACGGACCTCTGATGCTTATGTGCTTCCTTCTCCCCGTTATTTTTCATTTCTACGTAATGCAGCTCTCATGCTGCCTCTTCTTTTCCTACGTTCCTTCTTTCCGGCCCCAGCCTCTCGTCATCTTTCACCTAGACACTGCATTAGTGTCTGCTCGCTCCCCGATGTCATTTCACTACTTTCCACTCCAACTCACCCTCCAGATAAATGAGGGCCTAGCGTCATAATCTAAGAAATTTGAACTTTACTCTTTGGGTCAGTGTCTCTCCAACTGCAATCCAAAGACATTGTCTCATAACTCCAAACATTCTGTGATAATTATTTTAATTTGTGGTTTTATCGAATTAACATTCTAAATAATTTAAATGACAACCTGATAATGGAGCTGTGCTTTCCAATAGTAGTGCCTGTGTTTGTCTTTTTTCTCCACGGACTCTTTCTGTTCTCAGTGTCACTGGCACCAAACGATTACTAAAGTGACAGCTTTTAACTTTGTGTGTCAGTAAGCACATCTGGCTGTTAGGTTGGCATGTCCTAATGCTAAGATTGCCCCACGTCTGCCACTGTGCTCTTCAGCGAAGATGATTTGCAATTGAAAGATATTGTCATCGAACAAGGCTTTAATTTATCAAGATATTTAATTAATGGAGACTTTGATATGACATCATAAAAACTCATAGCGTGGCAGAGTAATGGTCTATTTTAATTGTTATGGGCTAGCGAGAAAAGAACAAAGGCAGAATTAACATGTAAATTATGTGTTTATAGCAAATGAAAGCCAAGTGATATTATGGGACATTGTACAAAAGAAGGTTTCCCAATCCGTCAAATGGAGAGAAGTGTTGAGAAGACGGAGTCATCCTGTGGCTCAGAGTGGTAAAGGCATGCCAAATTAAGAATCTTTGTCACAGAAGTCAGGAGGCTTTATTTATTCATTATCCATTTATCAAAAATGTGTTAAATGCTTAATCAATAAATACCCTGATTGCTAAACACTTTTCTAGGCACTGAGGAACAGAAGCAAACAGACAGCCGATCCCTAACCCTTGTAGAAGTTATATTCAGACAATAAGCAAAATTACACTATGATGGCAGATAGTAATATGTCCTGTGAAGAAAAATAAAGCTGAGAAAGGAACTAGAGAATGCTGGGGGGTGGGGACTATGTGGGTTTAATACAGTTCATGCAGAGAACCAGCCAGAAAGGGAGACGGGGCCAGTGGGCGTGGACACGGGTCAGAGTGTGGATTTGCAGGAGGAGATGAAGAAGGTTGCTCTGATTGATTCTGTTTCCCCAATGAAACATGAATTTGGGGAATCAGATGAGTGGGGAAACTGAGGATGGACGTTGGAGTTTGAGGTACAGGAAAAGCTACAAAATAGATGTCTGAGAGAAGAAATATTAGGTAAATGATGTAGGTTGCCAAGTAGAGCAGAGGACCCATTTAAATTTGTGGACATAAAATTAAAGTAAGGTGGTCCAGCAGAGTTCTTTGTTCCTCTCCGTTCGACCACACTCAGGCCCAAAATGTACAAGAAATCTGAGAGTCAGAGTTTTGCCAGATGAGGATGAAGAAGGATTCGCAAAGAACAGACTAACCACAGCACCTAAGCTGGGTGAGGAAGGAATGAGGGCGTGAGGGGGATTGTCTGAGAGAATATTAGGTAAATGATGTAGGTTGCCAAGTAGAGCAGAGGACCCATTTAAATTTGTGGACATAAAATTAAAGTAAGGTGGTCCAGCAGAGTTCTTTGTTCCTCTCCGTTCGACCACACTCAGGCCCAAAATGGACAAGAAATCTAAGTGAGAGTCAGAGTTTTGCCAGATGAGGATGAAGAAGGATTCGCAAAGAACAGACTAACCACAGCACCTAAGCTGGGTGAGGAAGGAATGAGGGCGTGAGGGGGATGATGAATAGTACACAAAAGCAGTAGTGAATAGAGTGGAGGCCCCAAGGGACAAAGAACTCCCATTGCAGTAGGGATGCCAGCGTCTGTGAGTTGGCATCCCTGGGAAGACAGGAGGTGGTCAGAGAGTAGAGAGGAGTGCTCTGGTACACATTCTGGAGGTTAGCAGTGTTTCCTGACAAGGGCACGATAGCATTTAGGATGAAATAATTCTTCCTTGAGTAGCACTGTCTCATGCACTGAATGCCATTTAGTTCCTGGGGTACAACCATGTGGCAGAGAAAGAGACATTGCATGTGAGAAACTCAAAGAACTGAGAGGCCAGATAGGAGCATTCTATGTGGATGTTTTTACCAAGAATGATGGCACGAGAGTGACTGCATTAGAGAGTCAACCAGGGGGCGTAAATCTCCAATAAATACACAGGCGTAGCAGGAGGAGAGTGGATGGCATGTGCTGCAAAAGTGCTCTGTGGATGAAGGGAAGAGAAGCTGCCTAGAAGTGACAATGAGGAGAGAGGACACTGACTTCACTCCAGACACTGAGAAAAAAACAGCTACCCGCTGAGAGGTGACAGGGAAGCAGTGACAGAGCTAAGAGTAAGAGAGCAGTGCTATCCAACCAAACTCTATGGCGATGGGATGTTGCACATCCATGCTGTCCAGTAAGATACCCAGCGGTCACATGTACCTATCAAGTCTCTGAGGTGAGGCCAGTGACTGAGGAACTGTCAATGTAATGGCACATGTGGCCAGTGGTTACCATATTGATGGGGCAGAAGAGGAAAGGGAGCATTCAGAAACGAACCTGAAGAGACGGACAATTCTTCTTACTCTCTGAGTCTTGAAGAGAAGGGGCAAGCATCAAGGTGAGTTGTGGGTCTAGAGCAGGGAGGCCAGAGACGTTACACTCAATTGCATCAGCATTTTCAATAAGCAGGATTGCAAAAATACATATTGTTATGGATACTTGAAAAAACCCTCCTTCAAAAGTCTAAAACATCACCACCATGTCAGAACTATTACATCTCATAAGAAGCATCTAGTATTAACAGACTATGACTATTGCCTGCTTTTCTGGGACCCAAGTGCTCCCCCGCCCCCCCCAAAATGGCTTTCTATCTCTAACAAAGGAAGGAAAGCTATAACTTCTGAAAACTTCCTGTTAAAAGATACTGGTGTTTAGCAATCATGTTTCTTATTTGTGTGTGTTTCTATAAAAGAATATAAAGAACTTTGTTTTTTCATTATCCAATATAAGGAAAAAGTGTTCTGACTGGCAGCAGCCACAAGCCTATAATTTGTACCTTAACAAAACAATACAAAAGGGTCATGCACCCCCATTTCCACCCCACCACACGGAGACTTCCAGAATGACCTCATGATCATGCCCTGAGAGGTTTGGCTCCAATTTACCAGCAACAACTCTGTCAATCTACCCTCGTCAACTAAATGAGTAATGCTAATCACTCACCAATGGAAGAATCCCAGGCTCAGGTAGGGACAGGCAAAGTGCTGCTAATGTCTGGATATTGCTTGACCCTGTAGTTGATGAGGAATAGAGAAATAGTAAAACACTTTTGGTTAGTTTCTGTCTCTTAGTGTCGCAAATTTACATTTAATTGCAGTTAAAATACCAAAATACTCTCTGTCCCCAGAGAGGTGACACAGCCCTTAATTTAATAGGCCCTAAAATACATAATTAAGAAACAACCTCTGTGGGGCTAATCAACATAGCGCTATAACTGGACCAATTTCCTGGCAGACAAGGGTCAATTTCTCTTAGTCATAAGGCAGAATCTTTCCCCTAAGTGTTGAGGGGCAGCAGAGTTTGCCACACCAAAACTTGCCTTTTTTGGGATATTGATTATTTTAAGCTGGTTCTTAAAAGAAAGAAAAGACCCAAGAAGATCCTTTTATTCCTCCCCCATCACCTACTAAAGGAATTTAGATAGAAAAACCTGCTTAAGCAACTATCCTCTCAGCATAATATGAATTAAGGGTGGCAGACAGGAAGGACCCACCAAAGTCCGTTTATTGGACTTCCCTCTGTATCCCCTTGTTTCTGGGTGGCCTACAAGAATTTGTTTCCCAAATGTTTTCTCCCTCTCATCTACCTGTGAATTGCCTACCATCCTTTTGAAGTCCATACCCCATCCCCTTTTACCTTAGCCTATAAGCTTCATCTGCCTAATTTGTCTTTGGACCCAATATTCTTTTCCTTTTATATATATATATATATATATAAATTAGAGGCCCAGTGAATAAATTTGTGCACAGGTGGGGTCCAACCAGCCCACCCTGACTGGGGGCCTGGTGCCCCCAATCGGGGTGAGGGGGGCTGATCAGGGTTGGGGCCAGCCAGGGGGAGGGGGCGCAGGTGGTTGTCCAGCCGGCCCAGCCCCCTGGTCGAACTCCCAGTTGAACTCCCAGTCGAGGGGACAATTTGCATATTAGCCTTTTATTACATAGGATGGATGGATATATATATTGGCCCAGAGAGGAAGGGAGAAGGAGAGAGAAAGAGAAACACTGATATGAGAGCAAAACATTGACCAACCAACTCCCTATGCCCCCTCTCCTCACACTGGGGTCCAAGCCCACAACCCAAGCACATGCCCTGACCAGGAATCTAACAACTCTGGGGGAGTCCTCAGAAAGGAGGGCTTGGAAAGGAAATACAGGTGTCGCAGGTGGGTTCCCCAGAAGCAGAGCCTGCGTCAGGGATTTCTATTCAGATGGTAGACTTCCTCTGAGGAAGAGGGTGCAGGAGAGGAAAGGGGTGCAAGCTACATCCAAATGTCATCCCAGCAAACCCCCAATGCACAGGACAATGCCCAACCAGCTGAGCCACACCAACAAGGGCCCAATATTTCTATGGATTCCCTGTCTGTACATACATAATAAAGTTGGTTATTTCCTCCTGTTAATCTGTCTTATGTCAATTTGACTATTAGACCAGCCAGAAGAACTTAAAAGCGTAGAAAGAAACTTATTTTTCTCCCCCACCATGTCTTCACAGAGACCAGATGCCAGGACGTGTCCATTCTGGCCTCCATATCTGTAGGCTGATTCAGCTCGAATGGGGCCTTCTGTATTAACAATGCTTCTGATGGCTATGAATTGGCCAGGGTCAGGCAGAAGGATCAAGAAATGAACTCACAGATGTTCACTATGCTGATGAGGTTGATTCTGTCAGATGCCCAGCTGTGCATCCACTTTGGGTCCAGGATACAGATACAGCTTCCACCATAATAAACTCCACGGTTTCTAGTATTTGACCTAGAGTTGAACTAAGAGACTCTTCTTTCATTCCCCTTTGGTTTCCCCTGATGGTTCTTCCATCAACATGGAAGCCAAAAGGTATCCTGGTACCAGCCCATTAACACCAGCTAACTATTCTATTCTGTAGTCACTCTCAATGATAGTCACCTTGTAACTTAATTTCATTGTCAACAATAAGACTCAAAGGAGTAGATGAGTGGAGTGCTTAAAGTCCATCTCAGGTACTGGGGAGAAACCTTACAAGTCACAATGAAGAGCAGCAAAGGTAACTAAATTATTAAATCCCACTGCCTCTCTCTGTCCACAAGCCCCCTCTGGTGGAGGAACTAATAGGTAATGAAATAGCTTTATTAATAACAATAACCAAAATTTTAAAAATAAGGGAAAGGTAACCCACAATCAGCCCCTGTAAGCTGAGTCAAATGTAGTGATTAGCAAATATGAGCTACACCTGGAAAACTACTTACAGATGAAACATTATGATGAATGATTTACCAAAAGGTCAACACTGCTCTTTTATCTTCACTACCCATCAGTTTCCATTGCCCTCAATTTCTCTGGCACAGAACAGAGAGCAGGCCATAAAAAATTTACCATAAAAATTAACCGTATTTTGCAATATTAAACACACACACACACTTGGATATAGTTTAAGCATATGGACCAGCTTCTCAATTAGGATTCCTCATATATACTAGAAAAGGCACTGACATTTAAAATCCTGTTATAAGAGGTAATGTAGTCAGGAAGTACCAGAACTCTGCCCTACGCACAGCTTTGCTGCTCCACTGTTAGTCCTCACACAAGGGAAGGCGCCATCAGTCCCCTCCCTAAGGCCACAGCAATGATGGCAGAGGTGGGGCAGGTGTCAGCGTTTTCCCTTTTACTTCCCTGGTAGCCAGAGCTCTGCAGCCTCTGCTGTTAGCTGGTGTGCATGCCAGGCTTTCGACCGCCACTTGCCTGCGATAGCTTCTGACAGATGAGCTGTGAGATGAACTGCCTTCACACTCTCACTTGACAACATTTATATAAAAAGAAACACACGACCAGACCAAAAAAAAAATATTTTCTAGCAGGAGTGATTCTGAAAATTATCATACCTGCAAATGGCCAGATCCCCATAACCAGACCTGTAAAGGTCAATTAAGCCATTTTAACTGAACTGATTAAATTGATTCCATCAGAAAACAGGTCTCTTTCCTCCTCCCTGTCCTGTTGTGAAATTACTGTTTCTCTCATTTTGCCAAATCAGTAAGATATTTTGCATTTTGTAGGTATGATCTAAGTCATCTCAGTTACTAAACAATTGCTCTCCTCAGACTCAGTTTAAAGAGAGGACCTAAATATCTGGTTATGTATTTATATCATTGCTATTTGCAGATGTTTTTTAAAGGGAGAATAAAAATGAAAGGAAAAAGGTCAAAAGAATTCTGAAAAAGATATAGCTACAAGGATGTTCACCAGTGCACTATCAGTGATAGTAAAATCTAGAAATCCTAAATTTCAAGCAAAAAGTGGAATACCATGCAAGCATTAATAATTATTTAGTAGGATATTTAATAACATGAAATAAAAATCATGGTATTATTAAGAGGAAAAAACACATTGCAAAAATGGTAGGTATAGTATTATCGCTTTTATCAACAATGGTTATATTTGGATAAGATTAAAGGTCTGACAAACATTGATTGGCCAACCCATGCCCCATTCACAACCCCCTCTCTAGGAGTACTTCTGTGAAGGGAAGTATAAGCAGAAGTCTGCTGGGTGGCACTGATTAAAAGGGGCAGATTGGTGAACAGGCCCTTTTTGTGCTGTCTATGCCACAGTGAATCAGCTCTGGGTCCTTGCCCATAGACTGTAATCTTAGCCAACCAGGATAGTCAGAGAAAGAAGACAAAATCTTGAAATTAGCTCGTAAATAGCACAAAGAACAATTGTAACTTGATCTATTTATTCATCTTTTAACCATTTGTTTTGGTGTACATGTAGAAGTAAAGGATCTTGGGTTGTGTGAATAATAATGATTAATTATAATAATAATACCATCCTAAGAGCAGGGCAGCCATATGCCTCTGAATTGCCAAAATACAGGGTAGTCAACTTGAAAGCTGAGAATTCACTCCTAACATATCTTCATGATAGTAAGCATAGCATATTTCTCAGATGTCTGAGAAATAAGTAAAGAATAATGTAATACACGTAAGTGTCAAAAATTAATACTGAGTGGAATTACACATATCTCTTCTTAGAACAGCCATCATGTATACTGTGGCAATCTGTCTGCATATCTGTCTTCCCACCAAAAGGCAAGGACCACTCCTTTCATCATTGCTAAGAATGCCCAAGCCTCCTCTCCAAGGATTCAGAATCAAACTTACATTCAAATTATAAATGCCTATAAACATGACAGCAATTTTTGACTCAGTCGTTCTTCATTCTAAGTCATCCTACTTTAAAAAGAATTCAACAACTTTTTAACATTTCCAAAATATCCTGAAGGGAGGGAAAAATCACACATTAAATTCTGTCAAGTAACATTTACCTCCTCAAGCCCTGACTAATCAGAAATGACTGAAGTTGGCAGCTCCGTTCGTCACTGGGTCTACAAGCTAAATTCAGTTCCTGATGGAAAATGCCAACAACCTTTCCCATCTTATCCAACATCCCATCCTGCCAGTCACTCTAGAGTCTGGCAGTCTGGTGTGACCACTCCTCATCAGATCAAGTAGAAATTATAAACCAAATTTACAATCCAAGCAGCCATATTCCACAAGAGCAGTCATAAAGTTAAAAGAGAAGGGTGCCAGATTTATTACTATTGATTCCCTGCTGGAAATTTCATGGAAAGATATCCACTGCAGTTATACACAGAGCATCTGGCTCATTTCCAACTCTTTTTGTCTTGAAGTTCTTTAAAAAAAAAAATCAACTAAGAGGGATAAGAAACTAGAAATTGGTGGATGGGGCCCAAAGGCTTTCTTCAGAATAAGAAGCCTTCATCACTGTACCCTAATTATGCAAATCTGCTCCCACAGAGTCCAATACATTCACTGAGTAAACCTTACCACTGAGAAGCCAATCTATAATGACTCAAGCCATATTTCACAATAGACTCCAAAGGACACATGATGTCATTTGCTAAAATGACTCAATCCAGATGGAAAGCATTCTGACCTATACATAATTGATTGACCTTTGCTATGCTTTTCTGGTTATTTATATACTATCCTCTACATGAATGTATATCAGTGGTA